ATAATACATAAAATAATATAATATAATAATAATTTTAACGATATTAATAGTTTACATTTGGCAGTGAACGTCGATATTCAAAGAGAGAATGTTTTATGGCAGAGTCGATACATGATATGATATTGTTTTAATGCTTTCGAGGCAAATTTAGTTGGCTGCAAATTGTGAGCTGCAATGCATCGCATTGTATTGAGCTCTGTACACTCTCAGCAGTTCGGATGACAATTTGTGCAGCTCGCAAAGTGGAGCAACTTTAAGTTCTATGAAAAGTTTAAGACGTCCTTAAGCAAAAGAAAAAAACTCGATCGCACTTCTCGCCTACTCGAGTGAATAGTTTGACCTCCATGGCCAGGATAAAATGCAATAGCGCTTCGATGTTGAGAGCATAAAATGAAAAAAGAAGAGTTTTCTATTTTCTTTATTTTTTTCTGTGTTTTTCCATGCGATTTCCATTGCACTCGTTTTTGACTGACTACACACGCACACACAACACAGACACACACACACACAGCATTATCAAATTGCGAACAGCAGAGCCATTTCCGACGTCATAGCTGTTTGCTAGTTGGAACGGATAAATCCGGCAGATAGCGACGATAAGATGGGCAAATAGGTCAGAGGAGCGACGGAAATGGCTTTGACAGCTTAATCCTGTCGAATATTTTTCTCTAATTTGCTGCGGTAATTTCCCTTTTGGCACACACAAACACACACACACACAATGATGATATATTCGCCATCAAGTTCATCAACATAAAATAAACATTTGAGTAGCATTTGTCGCACTTTAAGCACTCCTGCAATTTAAATAACATGCAGCCTGCCCCAATCAAATATATAATTCATCAATGCCATAGCAGCGACATTCAGCAAATGCAGCAGTCAAGCCAAACGACATACATCTGACTAATGGGCACACAGAAAATCGAATCTATATAGATACACTGTGCAGCTCTATAGATACTCTGCGGAAAAAGTTCCGATTGCATTAATTAAGAATATGTGGAAACTTTTGCAGTATTTCGCTCTGCTTGAGAGTTGTAGAAATTCGAAAACTATGTCAATTGTGAATAGTACTCGTAAGATATTGACCGCATTTCAGCTAACCTGGTGCCGACTGTGAAGCGAGGACAAGTGGAGAGATTTGCATTGCAGCAGCTCAACTGTTTCCATATAATATAGTAAATTTTAAAATAATTGCCGTAAGTCCTTTAAATTAAATTTTAAATGTACAATAATTGCCGTAAGTCAGTTCAAGAGCTCAAAGTAACCTGGGACTTTGTCAGCTGCTTATAGAACGCCAGCAATTTAAATTATTGAGAGTAATGCAATATTGTTCCATTTACAATCAATTAAAAGTAATTAATATACAATTTACATTTTGAGAGCATTTTGTTTCACAATAAATTAACTTCAATTGGATATTAATTGAACTTTTTGCAATTGGTTTAAATTTAACTTTCGCTCTCCTTTCCATTTATGCTGATTCACGATATTTATATTCTGAGTAATTTTCTTTAAATATAAATATATTTTCTACCTTCGAAACAATTGTGTTCTTTTACTTGAACGAAACGTTGACTGGAATTTCAGCACGAACAGCTTTCCATGAAAAAAGCAAAAAAAAAAAAAAAAAAAAAAAAAAAAAAAACTGTAAAATGGTCTCTTTTAGCTTTTGGCCATAGTCAACAGCTGAGGCTGGGGCTGGCAACTAATTGCATGACTCAATTTGCACAAATTGGCCGACTGCAAGGGCTGCGATTGCTGTTGCCAGCGTTTTACAACGTTTTTACAGCGTTTAAAAAGCGCGAGAGCCGAGCGAAACGCCTGCCCGGCCACGCCCACCTGGAATTAAAAATGCATTTGGCTGCCAATTTGGCTGATGCTGTTGCTGTTGCTTTAGCTGTTGCTGTTGCTGTGTTTCCAATTTATGTGTCAGCGAAATGTTTGTCAAATATCACGTATACGACATGCGGTACGGCCAGAAGGCATACGAACCTCATCAAGCAACGCTATAATATTCAATGTGAGCTAATTAAATATTTAATCAGGTCAAAGCTTAAACGTTTTAATGCGCAAATCTTCATTAGCCACTAATTGAGGGAATGGTAAGCCAGGCAACCTCAACAAGTGCATTGCGCCTTGAAATGCTCTCGCTCTCTCCTCCTCTCTCTCTCTCACCCACTCTCAGTCTGCCTTAAGGCAAGTGCGATACCCAGATTCGTTGCCATATGCAAAAACATATACACACACACATTTACACACCCATACATGCATGCATGCAAATTGTATGCACTAAGTAGTATTTTGTTTTGCTTTCGCAGGCATTGCCTGTTTGCTCATTTGTCTAATTGGGTTCGCCAATACTGGAAGTATGGATTGTGGAAGTGCGACTCGCCGTGGGAATGTTGTAAGAGTGCTGGAATGAAATGGCATTCAAGGCAGGCCCTTTAACTTCTAAATAGCACTGACAGCCGCAACAGCAGCAGCACGCCAAGGAATAGCAGCAGCTGCCACACACAAAGGACATTGCTTGCCGCTTCTTAGCGCGGCTCGCATGCAGTCATGCAATGCTACTTGAATGGAAACTGAACGAAAACGCAAGCCAAGCCCTCATAGAACGCCTTTCGTGTGCACCGTGGCTACAAATATTATTTGACGCCCTAAGGATAGCATTTTGTAATGGATAACAATAATTATATGTTGCATACATATTTGTAGTTTAAATACAAATTTTTGTATAATGACAAGAATGTATGATATTAAATTAAGTTTTTCTTTTGGATAAAAGGTTTGTTTCGAATCAGCAAAGACTTAGTGAACTCAGTTGGAATTGATAGCAAAAAATTATATATAAATTATATATGTGGTTTCCGCTGATTGAACATAACGAGAGTATAGATGAGAGACATTGAATTTGGGTAACCAAATTTATTTAGTTTTGAATTCAGCTGGAAATCTAATAAGTAAATTGAAAACAAAATTATATTTGGCTATGAAAATGTTAAGAATTTAAAGCATATTTAGAACATTAGATATAGAATTTCTATGATATGAACTAAAAACATAAATTAAATATAAATTAAATTTAAAAAAAATTAAATTCAAAGTATTTTTAAACGAGGTTATTTTGTCAAAATAAAATTTTTCTTTGAATACCTTAGGAATTTAAAATAAATCTAGAACATTTGGAAGACACAGAATGAGTCTTAGCTTTAAGTAAATTATTTCTTTCCAAAGTATATCGTAAATTTTCGACTAGATATGAACTTGTCTTTGTTATGGGGATTCATAATTATTCCTGGCTCTAAGTAAATTATTTCACTTCAATATATGTATATATTATTTTACCTTTTCAACTAGATTTTTCTGTTCGTCTTACCACTGTGCAATTGGCAATGCTGAGCCCTTGTCATTTCCCGCTGCTTTCATGCCATTTTCACGGACAGGCAGCGGCGAGGAGTGGCTAGTACTAGAAAAGCAATCGTCTAACTAACCAACTCACCAACTAGCAACTATCTAAATAAAATAGTCTGACAATGGCGACACGCGACCTTAGCGAGACCACAATTGTGTACATATATATGTATCTATATAAATATAATTCTGTATATGTATCTACATATACTTATATAAATTGCATTTTTTATTTGCGTGCCATGGAGCATAGCGAGCAC